ATATTTGCGTCTGTCTGTCTGTCTAAATTGGGGTCGTTAATCGGTGGATGTGAGAGTTCAAACTGTTTCATCTATTGTTCAAAAACAACAACAACAACAACAAATGTAATAAAAATTCTCAGATTATCGCCCAGAGTATCACTTTTACAGAGCTGCTTTAGTAAATGAGTAGTTGTAGTAGTCCAATGCAATTTTTTTTTGGAAAAATTACACTTATACCTCTGAAGTTTGTCATTTAATCACTCAGATCTCCTGTCATTTAAAATATTATACAGTTAGACCCCATTGTCAATGTCCATTAGTATATTTGCTATTAAATTACTTCCAGACCCCTTGAAATTTATAAGCGTGCAATAGTTAGATTCCTTAGGTTTAAAATGTTATACTTAAACAAAAAATATTTCAATCAAAGATAAAATATCAAATATGTTAAATTTTATAACTAAAATTTATGTTCCATTATGACATTTATTGAAATAAAATTAAATAAAAATTTTTTTTCTTAAAAAATTATAATTAGTATATAATTATGCTATGTATTGGAATTTAATTTGGTCATTTAAATGACCAAATTACTTCAATTAAAGCTAAAATATATTGTGTTCATTATAATTTGACTCAGTTTAATTTTTTAGTTTTATTCCAAATTGTATACTAATTATGATTTTTTAGGAAAAAAAATTACATTTTTATTTTCAATAAATGATATAACAAAACATGAATTTTAGTTATAAAATTTAAAATGTTTGATATTATATCTTTGATTGAAATATTTTTTGTTTAAATATAACAATTTAAACTTGAGGGGTCTAAGCATAATATGCTTACAAACATTAGGAGGTCTGAGTATAATTTATTAACGGATATACTAACAAACATTTGACAACAGGGGTTTAAGTATTACGCAAGTGCAAACCTTAGGGATCTGTGTGTAATATTTTAAATATTAGGGGGTGTGAGTAATTAACTGACAAACTTTAAGGGGTCTTGGTGTATTTCTCCAATTTTTTTTCTTTCTAAATTTATGAAATAGTACTACTCTTATTAAGGTCCCGTTTGGTTACGTTTATGTTTTTCGTTTTTCGTATTTTTTTTTAATATTTAGAGAAAACAAGAAAAAAAAACTCGTTTGATAACCGTTTTTATTTTTATTTTTTGTCATCGTTTTGTAAACGAGGGGTAATTTTTAAAAATGAGAAAAAGATATTTTTCGTTTTTTGATTCTATTTTTCGTTTTTTAGAAAATCAAAAATCGTAAACGTTACTAAATGAGTCGTAAAGATGTATAATTAACTAACTCGATTTTGTGTAGTGATGAATTCATTTCAACTTGGTGGATGACGTCACTGTCCTTTTTTAACTAGTCTGAATCGGATTCGAATTTGAATATGTAAAGTTGTGATACATCTAAATTGGTAGCATCCAGTAAATATGAATGGATCTGTGTTCTGAGTGCGTGAGAATGTCAAGAGGTGCTGAGTTTTGACTTAAAATCTCTCCACTATCATTTCATCAGCTTTTTCTTCAAGTATGGCCAACAACTCAGTTGACCTTTTGCTACTCTTTTAAAAGGACTAGTCTAAACCAAAACTTTCAAATTGGATGGTCGACATGGCCCATTCAGGATTTGGTATAATGGCGGGGCATTCCTATATGCACGTGGCGTACTATGCACCCATATGGGAAAAGTGGTACACCAAATTTGTGGTCTACCCGACAAGAGCCTCTCATTTCGCAAAGTCTTTCAAGGTCAATTCCCACTTCCGAAAGATATGGGTAGAGAGAGAGAGAGAGAGAGAGAGAGAGAGAGAGAGAGAGAGAGAGAGAGGTTTTGGTGTTAGTCTCACCAGCCCTTGGCTTTGGCTTCGGTTTTGGTGTTGGCGTTAGTTCATAAGCCTGGGGTCATCCATGATCCATGAGTCAGGGACATTGGCTGTTTGGATTAATTTATGTTTATTTTGATTAATTTTTTTTTAATTCGATTAAAGATAAGTTATTTATGTTGAAACTAGGCTATTTATGAAGAATAATCTTTTATGGCCTGACCTAAGTGTTGACAAGATTTATATTCAAGAAATCGGAGTTTACGGTCCGAATTGGAGACATTTGGGCCGAAGTGAAAGTTGACCTAGTAAGCGGGCATCAAAAAATTATTATTTTAGTGTCATATTACTTTATTTCAACTAATGAAGTTATCTTTATTATTTTACTTTAATGTATTATTTTAATGATTAATGAATATAAATGAATAAATTGAAGATTTATATATATTTGAAGGAACCTAATATAACAAAAAAGTTTCAAACAAGCACGATAAGAAGGGAAGAATTACAAATTCTTAGTACTAAATTCATAAGATTCAATAGGGAAAAACAAAATTTTTGAGACCCAGGGCCAAACAGAAATTTGAATAATTGCGTAAAATCGTCAGCCACCAAAGATGAAGAATTATTTTGCTTTAATTTAACATTGAATTAAAATATTGATTTAATTTATTTATCTAATCAATCATTATAATTGAATTGACAACGAGTCTCAGATTGAACCTGCTATTAATTCATTGACAATCATAAAATAGGTAAACAACTATTCATGTTTGTCTCATGTTTGAATCCCAAAATTAACTTCCATTTATAAAGATTGTATATCACTTATCTCTCTAAAATCTTGCTATAAGTGTGAGGAGTAATTCGTGCCTGAACGTATGGTACAATATAAATAGTTTGAGTAATGCTATTTAGACTTAAAAATCTGACTTAATTTGCTGATATAATGATGTGGCTTAATAGGAATCATTAGATCAACACTAAATTCTAATATTTGATGGGGCCTACAATCAATCTAAAAGTCACAGTTAATTAAGTAAGATTTTTAGGTCCCAATACCATTGGTCAAATAGTTTTAAAAGAAATATTGATGGTCATTGAATAAGTTTGTTTGAGGTCATTAACTTATTAAAACCTGTCCGAGAATATATTACGGATAACACTGCACAACAACAGTATAACTTGATCACTGCCCATCTGTGTACTCTCTGGTATAATATAATTCAAAGTTTGACAATATGCTTTTAATGGCATTCTCTTCCTTGAACGCAAAGGAAGATTTATTGGAAGAATGGTCGGCAATTCTGCTCCCTCTCCACTTCATGTGGACCTGAGAAACCTCTTTCTCTCTCTCTCTCATGCACATAGATATATGTTAAACATTAGTACAATACAACCATGAGTCTCATGGAAGCAAACACACTCCCATGTCAACCTTCAGCAACATTTCTTACGCNAGAGAGAGAGAGAGAGAGAGAGAGAGAGAGAGAGAGAGAGAGAGAGAGAGGTTTTGGTGTTAGTCTCACCAGCCCTTGGCTTTGGCTTCGGTTTTGGTGTTGGCGTTAGTTCATAAGCCTGGGGTCATCCATGATCCATGAGTCAGGGACATTGGCTGTTTGGATTAATTTATGTTTATTTTGATTAATTTTTTTTTAATTCGATTAAAGATAAGTTATTTATGTTGAAACTAGGCTATTTATGAAGAATAATCTTTTATGGCCTGACCTAAGTGTTGACAAGATTTATATTCAAGAAATCGGAGTTTACGGTCCGAATTGGAGACATTTGGGCCGAAGTGAAAGTTGACCTAGTAAGCGGGCATCAAAAAATTATTATTTTAGTGTCATATTACTTTATTTCAACTAATGAAGTTATCTTTATTATTTTACTTTAATGTATTATTTTAATGATTAATGAATATAAATGAATAAATTGAAGATTTATATATATTTGAAGGAACCTAATATAACAAAAAAGTTTCAAACAAGCACGATAAGAAGGGAAGAATTACAAATTCTTAGTACTAAATTCATAAGATTCAATAGGGAAAAACAAAATTTTTGAGACCCAGGGCCAAACAGAAATTTGAATAATTGCGTAAAATCGTCAGCCACCAAAGATGAAGAATTATTTTGCTTTAATTTAACATTGAATTAAAATATTGATTTAATTTATTTATCTAATCAATCATTATAATTGAATTGACAACGAGTCTCAGATTGAACCTGCTATTAATTCATTGACAATCATAAAATAGGTAAACAACTATTCATGTTTGTCTCATGTTTGAATCCCAAAATTAACTTCCATTTATAAAGATTGTATATCACTTATCTCTCTAAAATCTTGCTATAAGTGTGAGGAGTAATTCGTGCCTGAACGTATGGTACAATATAAATAGTTTGAGTAATGCTATTTAGACTTAAAAATCTGACTTAATTTGCTGATATAATGATGTGGCTTAATAGGAATCATTAGATCAACACTAAATTCTAATATTTGATGGGGCCTACAATCAATCTAAAAGTCACAGTTAATTAAGTAAGATTTTTAGGTCCCAATACCATTGGTCAAATAGTTTTAAAAGAAATATTGATGGTCATTGAATAAGTTTGTTTGAGGTCATTAACTTATTAAAACCTGTCCGAGAATATATTACGGATAACACTGCACAACAACAGTATAACTTGATCACTGCCCATCTGTGTACTCTCTGGTATAATATAATTCAAAGTTTGACAATATGCTTTTAATGGCATTCTCTTCCTTGAACGCAAAGGAAGATTTATTGGAAGAATGGTCGGCAATTCTGCTCCCTCTCCACTTCATGTGGACCTGAGAAACCTCTTTCTCTCTCTCTCTCATGCACATAGATATATGTTAAACATTAGTACAATACAACCATGAGTCTCATGGAAGCAAACACACTCCCATGTCAACCTTCAGCAACATTTCTTACGCTGGTCTACCATATTCAAGCTGTCAACCTTGCAAATTAAGCTCTCCATCTCCTAAAATATCACCCTTCTTCCTTGCTTTCTCTCTCTCTCTCCATGCTCCCTCTTCTCATCCTTCTTCCTAACCACTATGGCTGTTAAGATTGCACGTCCATTGCCTATCATTCTTTGGCTCTGTATCGTCTTGTTATTCTTGCTTGGATGGTGTAATAACATTTTAAAGCACAGAAGCAACACAGTTCATCTCTCTCTTTCTCACCACACTTTGAGAAGCAGGAAAGCATTGTCCAGCAAATTTGACTTCACACCGTTTATGAGGCATCTTCACCGGAGACACATCCCCGCCGTGCAACCTGAATCGCCTGAAAGCGAGGTTGATCCGCTCTACGGTGCTGAAAAACGACTCGTTCCAACCGGTCCAAACCCACTGCACCATTGAGGTTTTCTTAGTACATTACTTTTGTTTTCATGTGTTTTTTTTTCTTTATCAGATCACCTTCATTGTTTAAGAGAAAAGACACATGTCTTTCAAGTTATCTGAATTTATTTGTACCATTATGTATGTACTAATTTACAAACTGAAACATCCTATAATCATACTTAAATTCAGTACCCTCCTCTTGAATATTGATTCAACATCTAAAGTATCAGAGTCTTCATATCATATGCAGATTGGAGTCATGTTCATGACGCAAATTTCGTGTTCATCGAAGAACTTAAATCTTTCTTAGAACATTGAATTTGCGGTAGATATACTCCAAAATCTTTTCTCTCTAATATGAAGTGTCTTTCATAAATCTTTCATGTTGTTGTGTCATATACTTTAATTAGATTCAAAGAACCAAGGTTTGATGGGACGGCACGGCATGTCATGGGAAGATGAAATTAATTAAGCACAGTTCTAAACTGAACATTATAAAATTGGAGTTGGTTTATGAAAAGAACTCTCAGATAATATGATATATAATATTTAATAATCTGCCAAAGAAACCCACCAACATGGTTGACTTTGAGAGATTTTTCAGATTATGGCATAGATTTTGTAGGAATGATGGCCTAAGTGAAATCCTGCACGAACCAATAACAATGGAAACCTTCTCACTTCGAATTTTGGTTGATCCATATGCGAAATTGATTAGAGTATTCGGATCAAAATTTGATCCGAGAATCTAGCGTATACCATTTTCATAGTTGAAATTTTTGATCTGACCAGATTCGGCTTGTAGGAAATTCTATTTGAATTTCAATATAGTATCATCAAATAATCACCGAGTTCCATCATATATTTGTATAAATGTAAATATGAGTTAAAACAGATCAAAATCAAATTGGATAGAACAGATGCACATCTAAATTTATTAGTTGAAATATTAATCTATATCTCACTAACTAAATTCAAATACAGATTCACCTAAGAACTAGACTTTAGTAGAGACAAAAGCAGGATTATAATGAGGAAAATGGACTTGGGTGCATGTAATCACCATTTTTTTGGTGTGCCTTTTGCATTGGTGGGTGGGTAATGGTTAGTAGACGAATTTGACAAGATGTGATTTTATACATTTCAACATAGTTGTTGTAAAAAAGTTCTCCAGCCATTTCTGACTTCAAAAAGGCTAGTGTCAGCACCACTCTGCGTGGAGGATTCTATTGGAGGCACGGACTTTGTTTTTTTTGTTTTTAGACAGAACAGGTATAGAAGAAATACACACAACAATCTACACGACAAAACTCAACACACACATAGAGAGGGACCCACAAACCTATCATGGACTTACTCCATGAATAAAGTGATAAAAATTTTCAAAACCAGTACAAACACACACATTTAAACATATAAAATAAAACCTTCTACTTACAAAACGCACTACGATCCTCATCGTTTTGATTTGATGACTTATTATACAATTTATATTTTATTTTTTTATTTATAATAAATCTACTCACTTATAGTTTAATCATGATAAAAAAAAAGGGCACACTGGTAACCCTAGTACATATATATGTCGGGGTGTGTCATGTGTGGAGGATCAAAACTATATACTTCCCTTGAGACTACCCATCAGTATGAGTTTGTCCTAGCCATTAATCATTCGGGGGCATGTTTGGATAGATTTTCAATGGAGATTGGATAGGTTTTAGCAAGCTCTTCCAAACTCAAGTCCCTCTTTTGTACATGAGATTAGTACACATATTCTATCCATACGTAAATAGCTTAAACATACGTGGGACTCACGTATTAATAATAATTATAACAAAAAATTATCATGTAATTGTTTAAATTGTTCATTGTTCAATTCAATCCGCATCCATGTTTGTTTAAGTCTAAAGAGAGAAATAGTTGGGGGTTGAGATGTGGTTTGGGTAGATAGAATAATTTATTAGGGATACAATGATCAATTCACCTATTTATCCTAGGTTGATAGATATGAAACCCCGCTCCACAGGTTTGGTGAAACCCATGTATATGAGTCTAGCCAACACTATTCAGCACGGGTCAAGATTTGAATCTTGGGCCCTAAATCCATGGGTGTGACTGGTCCATTTGACAATTTTGGTTAACCACTCCATCATTTATCTTTTTTTTTTAAACACCCCATTATTTATCAACTTCCCATTCTCTATCTGACCTATGGTAAAAGAAATAAATAAAATAAAAGTCATATACTCTGTGTTATATGGCTATGGCAATCTAATAACATATGGTAAAAAAATAAATAAAATATAAGTCATATACTTAGTGTATTATATGGTTGTAGATTTTAATTTAATTGATTTGGAATCATTTATAAATAATAAAATACTATCAAATAATAAAATAAGATGTGTGTTACATTTCAATTAGGCGAAAAATAAGTGTGGTATTCAAAATTGTTTAGTATTATAGTTAAAAACATTTTAGAACATGGGTCAGGTCGGGTCGGGCTAGGCACAAGCCCTTATCCGAGGTAGTTATCGAGCGTGCGGGGCTTCGGGTTGGGGTACGCTACCCGTAGTCTAATCCACCACATATTGTATATATATATGCATATATTCACTAGGGGTAATCTGTGTCTGAAGGCACAGTGCAATGTGAATAGTTTTGAGAGAAATGTTGGTGGTCGTTGGATGAATTATTTGAAACTGTCGGATGAGATTATTGAAGTCTGCTTTGTTTTATATTATATTATATATAAACTAGTAATGCATCACGTGCGTTGCACGTGAACTATAACTGAGTTAAATTATACTCATCTCATTCAAATGAGACTTTTATCGTTGAATGTGCCAACTGTTCTAAGTAGAGGCTCATTCCGACAAAGAGATGTTTTAAGGAAATACCTAAACACATTATATAGCATCCTTTTGTATGCGAAATGATTTTGAGGCGATAGTGTTGTCTCATAAAAGACCTATTTGTTGTCGCAAATATTATTTAAGACGGTCTTTGCTGCCACCAAAAAAAATCTCCAAAACACATGACGGTGAATACTTGCCGCCACAAAAAACTTATGTCAAAGACCTTAATTCATATAGTGTGTGTTGATCAATCCACCTACATAAGACACTTGGGAATAACAACCATTCTTGTTTTCATGATTTGATTAATTTTGGCACACACAATTTAAACAACTCTTGAACACATGAAAATCATGTATTTAAGCCTATTAGAACTATTTTTTTGAGATTAAATTCAGCAAAAGTTACTCGTTTTATAATTCTATTGGTAAAAACTAAGAAAAAACTAATCGTATTGCACCATGAAATTAAGTATAATATTCAACCATGTTAATCCACTGGCTTCCCTTCTAATGTTTACAAAGCACTCTTTAATAAACATAGAAATTGAAGAATCTAATTGAAAACTTTGTAAGCTAATTTCTTTAACCAATGCCTTGCTCATGTCTTTCATTGTCTCTAGTTATCTTTAGTTGCTTTAACTTTTCTCACGTCACACTTTTAGAGGGACAACTAATAGTTTATTAGACATGTTTGAACCATAATTCATCCTACCTTGTTAGTATTTTTGTTACTGGGTGTGTGAATCATATTATGATAAAAAAGGATCATGTGAAACATGAAGAGATCACAATTTTTTTTTTTTTTTTTGTGTCTGTGTTTTATACTATATCCATTTACTGCTGCCAAAGGGAGAGTTGTCCTTCCACAAAATCATTTGGTCTTATAACCTAAAAGAAATGCAACTTATAATTAGGACTTCAATCAACTTTGGAGATTCTTCTTGGCAGGTCAATTCTTGAGAAGTTCCTCAAACTAAAATCACTAACTTATGAGCTTGTGCTATAAACCACATCTTCATTAAGAAAAATCAAATAATTATGACTTTTAGACAATAAAAAATATGCTTAGAATTCAGTTATTAAGCTTTTTAAACTTGCTTAGAAGTCAATAATGAAAAGAAAAAAGGACAAAAAAAAAATGGAAACTTACATTGCATCCAAAGAGCATGAGAGTTGGACAACTTCCCAGTGGCTTTACCAACATGCTTGCATCAATGTTGTCTTCCAATACGATTACTTAATAGCAATTTCATAGCCAGACTCACTAACAAAATCATAAATTCCCTAAAATCAACATCCTCAACAATAGCTGAGATTCAAGTATCAAGAAGAACAAAAAATAAAATAAAGATGCATAAGAGACAGAAATCAAAATGTCATATTTGCACACGACAATTCTTTGAATACACCACACACACACACACACACACACAGAGAACCACGTAAATCGCAAACTAACAATATCCCGAAAATAATAAAATGCTAAGAAGTACAAGATTTTTTTTTTTTTTTTCTTGTTTGAGCTAAACATGATTTGAGATTAAGGGAAAAGGGAGTACAAAAATTATTGAGCACCATCATGTGTTGATGGAATGTATTTGATTGAATAATATAAAATCTATGTGTATTAATTTGATGCAATTGTTCAGTGTTTATAAGCAAGTAAAACATCACTTACTTTAACTGGCTAGAAGTCGGATAAGCGAACAACGATGAACCCGAGAGTCAATCATCGAACTGTCAAATCGAAACCACCGAAGCAACATGTTGCTTTAGAGAGAGAAAAAGAGGGTGGGCTGAAGTGTTAGAATTGAATGGGTTTGTAAGCTTTGCCTAACAGCAGGCATTAAGTGCTTGAATTAAAATGATCTAGCTTCTAATTTTGCAACTGTTACATTCTAATTGCAGATTTATTGGTTGTTAGCTGCCAATAAAAGAAGCACAAGAAGACGAAATGCAGACAAATGGTTCAAATTCCACTGGCTAACTGATGTATTTTTAAATCAGCTACAGCTTACAGCCATTAGATTAAGGATAAGATTGGTTTTATAGTGTTATTTAAGGGTAGATTTGGAAAATAAAAGTTTTTTCAATTTGCTTGCTTTTATATGTGTGTGTATATATATATACAATTTCATTTAAAAAGTTTTCAACTTAATTTTTTTTTTTTGAATTGAGCATTGAATGCACCTAAATTGTTTTTCAGAGGCATATATTGCCACCCCATTTTTAAAGTTTCAATGATCAATTTTTTTTTCAAACAGTTGGGTGGAAGGGTAGATGGATTGGGCGGTCTATTGGGCCGGGTTTTAACAGTTTTTTGAGAATGGGCTCACGGGGCAGATTTTGGATAAGGTAATGGGTTTGAGGGTAAGCCCGAGCTCTCTTTTGAAGGATATTGGACTCACTTGGAAAGTTAATGTCAACCTTCGTATTACAAGACAGGATTCTTAATGGATATTCAAAAATAACTTGGATTATAATTTTTAAATTGGACGAAGTATATGATAAGTTGACATGCCTACTTGTAAGCAGTGATCGTTGATTAGTGGGAAGGGTGAGATTAGTTAGACTTTGTTATTCCCATTGAATTGATCGAGGTAATGTTAGTTAAAAGCCCATCTTGGTTTTCTCATGTACTGTACATTCCTGGTATTTAACATCATGTTAGCGTATACTGGCCTTTTTTTTTTTTTTTTTTTTTTTTTTTTTGATCCGACTGTGATACCGAAAAATTAACTTTTCGATATCACACCTCTGTTTTTGGTTAAAGTAAACATGACACTTGGAGTTCTTTTTTTTTTTTTTTTTTTTAAATT